GGAAACTGAGGCAGGAGTCAGATTTCATTTTCCGCTTCGTGTTGCAAGCATCAGTCAGTTGGTGCACCCGTGATGGAGGGCAGGTCAGCAAGGCAGTGCCTGGTTTGAGTTTTGCTGTGTTTTGGGGTGCTGCATTTCCACATTGTTGTTGTTCATTAAAAGAAGGAAAGTAAAACGTTGCCCAAAGGGAAGTACAAACACGTGAACAGGTTCCCTCTGAAGGGAGAAGTGGTCAGCAGACCAAAATTCCACCTGTAATCAAAAGCAGGGCTGCAGCTGACAGGGCTGGAATGAGCTCTCCTAGGGAAAAATGATAAAAATGAGCATTTGCTACCTAAAGCTCTGAGGGCTTCAAGTAAGCGGACACAAATCCCCTCTTCTTCGTTCTTCACAATGCTTGCTGTACCTGAAAGCGTCTCTGCTAAGCAAGGACTAGCATACCAGACGGTTTTCTGCTAAGTCCTTTTTAGTTAATAATACAAGTTTAGCCTCTAGAAGGCATTAGCTTGTCTGTACTGTTAACCACTTGGTGACTGCAGACATCCTGAGCAGAACGTGTCTCACACATGTTCTGGTGTTCGTTAGTATCCTCCTTACAGTGGTGTTGACATGGGATGATTTTATAGAGAGTGAGTATGTTAACAAATGTCAGTGCTGGAATCATCAGCAGATGTGGGTGATATTTCATGAGCAAATTTTACACAAATTGGAAAGAGCTTTACTTGCTGTGATCTGAGATGAAATATCCATCCGTATCCTTCAAAAATTTGGGGATTTTTATCACTTCTGATCCAGGGAAATAACATTGTGGCCTCTCTAAGAGTTTGTTAAAAACACGTTTGTAATCTAACCTTTCCTATTTTTTTTTCTTTCACATGATAATAGGCTAGTTAGGCTCTTAACCTCTTTTTTTACGTGTATTGTAACTTCTCTTGCAATATTACACTGGCAGTTTTATGAGCCAAGGCCAAAAAACCCTGCTTGCTAAACTTGAGCAATCAGGAGGGAACGGATGATGAAAAACTAACAATGTTTTACTCATCTACCGCTCATTTTTCTTCACAGACATGTAGCGAGTCGATATTAACAAAGACAGTAATAAAAAGCACTTTCTGTCCTCATAAATCGATGTGTGCTGGTGGGGTCAAGAACAAATATTGGAAACATTAGGACACGTAGAGAACTCTCTTCCCGTGTTGTGACGCTCGGAGCCAGGCTGGAATTTTTTTTTCAATTGCTGTTTTGAAAGCAATTAGAAGGAGGCATTTCTGTGGCTGCACAGGAGGTTTTGTGCTGGCTGGGCGCATGGTCAGCTTTTTTTTCTACCGGCTACAGCAGGTCAGGTAACATGCTGGAAAAAAAGGAGTCCTTCTCAGTGTATCAGGGCTGTCGTACTACTCTGCTTGGGACAGACATTTTTAAAGGTGTCTCGGAACCCAGGGGATTCAAGCTGTTCTCTCATCTGCAGCAGGAGCACAAGACTCTGCAGTTGACCGAGTCTTCAAGTAAACACTGACAAGATACTTGAGGCTGCCTGAAGAGAGAAGTCCCGGCCAGAGGGACTTCACTGTCAGGAACTCTTGGCGCTGATTTTGGCATAATGGGGCCCTGCTGACGATGCCTTCTTAGTTGTTTGTTAATGTTCTCTCACCCTTCAGGCTGATGGGTTTCTTCCAGGTCACAGTTGATGGGAGTAGGTCTGTCACTTCATCCCTGTTCCCTCTGAGCACCCTCTAAGCTGAGACGAGTACAGAGAGAGCACTGTGTGTGTCCTCCTCAGCTCCTGCCAGAGAACAGGCTCCGATGTCAGCAGGACTGATTTAACCTATTAAAAGTGATGGGCTAAAGGGACAGTGGAAAGATGTTTTCCTCAAATGAACTTGGCGGTTTGTGTTTTGCTTGGACGGGGTAGTAAGAAGTTTCCGAAGAAAATAAGTTGATACAGTTGGAAAACAGTATAAAGTAGGCCTTTGGTATCACTCGATAAAGCTGGAACAGTTAGGTTATCAAAGAGAAGCCAGAAACTTAGAGAAAGCTCAAAGTCGTCACAGATGTTCAGTTGTTTTCCTGATGAATTATGTTACATAGGTTCCCTAAGAAATGCTGTATGAATTAGCAGTCTTTTGGAAGAGCAGGGGAATACTGCAGAGAAAGTAAATTTGTAAAATTAATTTACTTGTAGAGTTTCCTGCAGTGGTGCCCTGGTACTACACATCTGTCAAGATTAAATGAGATTTGGGGGCTGATAACACCTACGTGAGGACACTATTGTGCCCTAAGGGCAGCCTTGTAATTTCATTTGTAATCAGGCAGACTATAATTACTATGTTTGCCTCTGATTAAAAAAAGCAGGTCAGAAGAGGAATGAATTGTGCTCTGTGTGTGGAGGGGAACTTGACGCGGTAAGAGCACTTCCAGACACCTACAGAACATGAATGTTCTCTGATTTTTCATCTTTGTGCTTGTTTGGTTGGTAGGTCTGTGTGGCTTCTCATCTGCCAGGAGCTGCTGTGTGGAACTGCTTGCTAAGGAGAGAGCATAGGAAAGGTTTTGGATATGTGCCTTTCTGATCTCCACAACGTGTGATAAGCACATGTCCAACCTCTGGTTTGGGGAGAAAGCAGCATTCTCTGTGGCTCAGGTGAGGGGTACCTGTGGTTAGTGAACAGGGAGGAACATAGAGAAGGAGGGAGTTGTACTTCTGGCCTTCCTGAGCGTTTCAGGAGCGTGAGAGCCAGCCCAGGAGCATTTTGGTGAGCTGAGCCTGGATGGAGAAGACTCTTGCTGTTCTCATGTGAAAGGCTACATCAGCCTCAGGGAAGGTTTCTTGGAAGAGAGACAGGTAACCAACAGGACAAAAGTAGGAAGCTCGTGAAATCTGTAGTAGGCTAGTATTCATGTGGGGCTCTATATGTTAATATAACTGAGAATAAAGATCCTCTTTACTAAATGATCTCTCTTATCTTCACAGTGCCCTTGATCGCTGAAGAGTATCATTATTTTATCTTGTTTGTGTTTTGTGGACAAACAGCAACTGGAAAACTGGCCGAGGTTTGCATGTGAAGTCTGTGGCCTTGCTGGGTATTAAGGCTTTCTCTCCTTTGTCAGGCTTAGTTCCATAATCCTCAGCTCATCCTTCTTCTTTTGGAAAGATGGGTTTATTTGTCAACGATCTGCCTGTTACTGGTGGGTAAGGAACAAGGAGGAGAGGCCGAGTGAGTATATGAACATTTGCTAAGCTTTTTCCTTAAAGAAGGTGGGAGAAGATTGGGAGAAGAGAATGGTGCCGGGGAAGAAAACTCTTAGTAGGAAAAAAAAAAAAAAAAAAAAAGTTCTCACTGGTTTTGACAGAGCAGCTCTCAGAATTACCAGATCATCTTCAGCTGTTGATCTCAGTGTTTATTTTCAGTAACTTTTTTTTTATGAAGGAGGAGCCAGTGTTCCCCAGTTGAAGTATGCCAGCTTCTTTACTCAGCAGCACGTCCCTTGGCAAGTGTTGTGGCCGGAGCCCGAAAAAAAAAAAAAAAAAAAGAGTTCTCACTGGTTTTGACAGAGCAGCTCTCAGAATTACCAGATCATCTTCAGCTGTTGATCTCAGTGTTTATTTTCAGTAACTTTTTTTTTATGAAGGAGGAGCCAGTGTTCCCCAGTTGAAGTATGCCAGCTTCTTTACTCAGCAGCACGTCCCTTGGCAAGTGTTGTGGCCGGAGCCCTGGGACCGGGGCTGACCAGCCAGCTGGCTGTCTGCACCTGGCCTCAGCTGGGACCTCTTTCAGCCAAGGCTGGAGGGACATGTGAAGTCATGTTTCCAGCCTGTGGAGATGCTTCAGATGCTGATTCTGTCACATCTGTTTGTGTAGCCCATAAACACATAGAGAGGGCCCATCCAGTATGGAAGAGGGTTCAAGTGTCTTTAAAAAAATCGTCCTTATTCTTCCTTTTACTTTCAAAGATTACGAAAAAGACAGAATAAGCTCTCAGTATCTTTCCTTTTTCTATAAAATATTAATGAAGCAGGGACCGTGTCTTCAGAGACAAGAGGGTTTTGTTACCGGGAAGCGCAGTCAGTAAGGAAAGCCAATAAAAATGTCCTCCCTCACCTTCAGTGTTTAGAAGATAAAGAGAACTTTTGGCTGTTTGCGTTATCCAGGCTGACCCAGTTGTGTGCTTTCGGAACGACTGCGCTACGCATCGCAGTTGAGCATCTCAAACACTCTGTCGGTTGCCACTGCGCTTCTGGGAAGGCCCATTAAAGTCTGTATTTGCTTCCTGCAACACAGTGGAATCTAATGAAAAGCGTCATTGTTTTGAAACACCCTCATCTGCTGCCAAAAGAGCTACTGTTGTATAATCCTTAATAGCAGGTTAGAGTGGCAGTTATTCCTTGCTTGGAAATTGGTATGTGGAAGGATGGCTTTCTTTCCAGTTCTCTCTGCGGGGATGGCACGTCTCATCTTGTTCAGTCCCTTTGGGAACTGTAACTCATGTGGAGGTGTTCAGCTCTCCTGAGTTGGTAACAGAGCCTCGCACAGGTTTGAGCACCAGGAGTGTTACTTAGAGGTGACAAGCTGAAGGGGACAGCGGAAAGTGGCAATTCTCCTTTGAGAAGAGGGAGCAACACTCTGGCTGCTGAGTAGCCAGGGGTTATATTTGTCAATTCTTGCCAGCGAGTTTATTTGTTACTAAAGATGCTTCAGGTTGTTCTGAGGTAAAAGAACAGAGTTGGAACAGAAAAGTTTATCGTAACTTTCCTTTCTGATTTGCAGAACTGAGTGTGTTCACTTCCATGCTGACATTTCTGCCTTTCGTGCTGTTTCTGTTGACCTGCAGCTCAGCCAGCACGCTGTCGTGTTTCATCTTAGCAATGACGTTAGTATTTGCAGATATCAGTCAAACATTAAATTCCTCTTGTGGTGGACATTTGCATCAAAGCTTACCTCCCAATTCTCAGCTAAAACAAATAACACAGGAACTCTTAAATATTTTCTTTAGGTTACAGCAGAGAGATCAAATTCATTCTTGATTTTACTCTTTCAAGACCCTGTGCAATCAGAGCAGTTGCTTACGGGAAAACAGCGTGAGTAAAATATTTGAATTATCTTACGAGTTTCTTACTGGAATTTAACAGCTGGAAACAAAAAAAAAGCAATGAGAACAACATCTCCTTAGCCAGGTCCATGCTTGCTATTGGCAGGCGCTCAGTTGGCCAGCAGTTTGGGAACCTCTGCAGCAGAGGTTGCTGCAGGCTGCTGAAGACCTTTTCCCAAGGAAGCGAGTTTCCCAGGGCTGTTGGGGTGCACGGTTCATGCTGGTCTTGGCTCAGAAGAGCCTTTCTTTGTCCGTTCACCTTCTCTCCAGGTGAAACCTATCTCTGGAGGTTTCTTTTTGATTTTGTTTGTGCTTTAGTCTCTTATTTGCTGATAATCACAGAATCACAGAATGATACGGGGTTGGAAGGGACCTCTAGAGATCATCTAGTCTAATCCCCTGCCAAAGCAGGGCCACCCAGAGCAGGTTGCACAGGAACGTGTCCTGGTGGGTTTTGAACGTCTCCAGAAATGGAGAGTGAGTCGCCTGAGGCATGATACTCAATTTGAGTGACCCTCTGTGGAGCTCAGGCTGTTTGACTTTTCTGCATTAATTCTTGACTCTGTGAAAAAAGGCTGCTTTAAACATCACCCCCTCCCTTTCATTTAGAGCCCTCTGGTGCTGGAAGAACTACTTTGGAAATGTGTTGTTTCATAATTAACTGTCCTCTCTGTTAATATTTTTTTTGTGTGGATTTATTTAATTTCAGGTCATGTGCTTTTATGCTGTCATTGCTAGACTGAGAGCCCTCCACAGTCACGCTGCTTTCCTTTGCATAAATGCTTCTAGACTATTTTCAAATCACCTGCAGAGTCGCTCTCTGTAAATTGGCAATCTTCCACTCCAGCCTTACTCTCTTTCACAGCTTCATTCCTTCCTCAGTATAATCAGTATCATTCTTGAATGGGGACAGCTGGCTGAAGACAGTTTTCCAGCAGCGCTTGTAGCAGTGACAGAGGGACATGGAGTCCTGCTTGGTAGCCTTCTACATCCAAGGATCTTACTTGACCTGCAGTTGCAGCATTTCTTTGAGAGCTCATGGTCGGTGATTCTTCTTTGTGGTGTAGCTCGTGCTCTTCAGGATCAAGTCGTACATTCCTTATGTATAACCCTCCTTTGTCGAGCTGTGGGACAATATGGGGCACTCTAGACTTAAAGAAGTGGAGAACCAGCATTATCTCTAACAAACCGTTCATGTAAGAAGCAGTATGATGGAAACAACCTAACTACAGTGGTAATTCTCCAGGAAATATTGAAAAGCATGAGCTATATGGAAGCTAGAAAATATGCTAATTAGCTCACTGGAGAATTGGCGGTTCCAGTTCAAGGCAGTAAACTCAGTTGCAGATAAATGAGGAGACTGGATTGTCTCACGGTGCTCAGAGAGGGTCAGATTTGAGGTTTGCTCCTCATAAAGTTGCACTGTGGATTTCATAATTTTCCAAATTCCTTTCTAACCATCCATAAAATTGATGATAATTAAATAATGCTTAAAATTAAAATTTTAAATAACTAGTGCTCCTTGGAGTTCCGGAATAAGTAGAACTCCTTGGATAGAAATGGATGGTCACCCAAAGAAGCTCCAAATTTATCTGTCTGTATTTTTTGGTGTGTCTAATGCATTTGAGTCCTGGATTATTACTGGAGCTCTAGGCACTGTGCAGTGACTCTGTGGGTATGGCTGTCAGTAGAAATAGTCTGATAAAAAAATCCATGTAAAATAGGCAGGGGGTTGTTAAATATATTTTACAAGATATTTGATATATAGCCATTAATATAGCATGTGGTTTTATGACAGAGATAAAATTCAAACTGAAATTAAATCAAATCCTATAATAAGCCACATGAGTAGCATTCTCCTTTCTTATACCTTACCTGTTGAGAAATAACCCTTGAGTTACCATCGTCTGTCAGTCAGACCATAGTCAAATAAATGTGTGACTAGGAAAGCTTTATCAATTTCACTAAAAGCAGGCTCTTGGAAAAGGCAGCTTCATTGATGTCAGCACATCTTGGTGGCCAAGAGAAAGAGCTGCCCCCTTCCTGCTGGAGGACCCAGGGCCAGCATCGGTGATGGCAAGCTTGGAGGTGGGAGGGTTGGTACAATCTATGGGGCAAGGAGCCAGTGGGTCTTTGGATACTGCAAGTGGGATCTCCTGTGAGCTCAATACATGTCTGTGGTTAACCTTAACAGGTTCTTAACAGCAGATCTCTACCTCTTTAATACCCTGTAATGGGCGTACGGAATTATCCTGCTTAAAGCCAACCTCAGGTGTTAATTATCTTGAGCATGCTTTGAAGTGTCTCTTGGAAGTAAATTAATAGTCAAATAAGAATAGCATATTTTGTCCTATCATGCTGCTATCATGAACCTGAAGCATTGCTGTCAGAGGGGCAGCCACCCAGAAGTGGAAGGTTTTCAAGTGAAGAACTTGACTTCAGTCACAAAGTGAAAAAAAAAGTCAGTTTTCTGGTTTAGATCATTTACAAGCTTCACTACTTATATTTGGAAACTGTGGGCTTTCCAGTGTTGCCAGAGATCTCAAGTCACGGACATACTAATTTTCCAAAAGCATCACTAATTGAAAACACCTTTTAGAAACAATTTGCTCTTTGGTATCAAGCAGAAGTGTTGGCAGTAAAACACAAGAGTGGTTTGATTTGTCATCCCAGAGCTGTGGGGGAGAGGAACTGTGTGAAGGAACAATTCTGTGTAAGGCTGCAATTCAGAATAAGACTGGAGCATCGTTGGGTGTCTGTGCAGTCCCTGCAGGTTGGAGCAAATCACAAGCTGCTGCTTCAGGGCATGTGTCACAGGTAGTCCTCAGTCTTCAAGAATTTGTAGATGTGATCTAGATACCTAGTGTAACTGATGGTATGCAACTGATCCATGGCTTGGATGGGAGTACTCTCCGCTGGGTTAAAAACCAGCTGGAGGGCCGGGCCCAGAGAGTGGTGGGGAATGGAATTAAATCCAGTTGGCGGCCAGTCATGAGTGGTGTCCCCCAGGGCTTGGTATTGGGGCTAGTTCTCCTTAACATATTTAGCAATGATCGGGACAAGGGGATTGAGTGCACCCTCAGTGAGTTTGGAGATGACACCAAGTTGGGTGGGAGTGGCTGGAGGGTAGAAAGGCTTTGCAGAGGGATCTGGACAGGCTGGATGGATGGGGTGAGGCCAGTGGGATGAGGTTCAACAAGGCCAAGTTCCAGGTCCTGCCCTTGGGTGACACCAACCCCCTGCAGCTCCAGGCTGGGGGCAGAGTGGCTGGAGCTGCCTGGCAGAAAAGGACCTGGGGGTGTTGGTCGACTGTTGGCTGAACAGGAGCCAGCAGTGTGCCCAGGTGGCCAAGAAGGCCACCAGCATCCATACCAGTCTAGGTGTTATTCCTACTGTGCAATTAAACGAGAACAGGTGTATGAAGGCATGCTTGTATTTATGCAGCTGGCAATGTTAAGCATGAAATTACATTTCATATAATTTTTAGCTGACCTCTCAGTGTCTGCCAGCTGATGCTAAGTATTGAAATATGAAGTCGTGTTGAAGTATTCTGTGCAAGGAAGATGCAACGTATCTCACCAGGAATTTAAACTGGTTTTTAGCACAGAGACTGAGTAATTAACACTTCTGCATTTGATTCTCGCTTGCTCTGTGTTACTACGCTCAGTCCTGGCCACTTTGTGCAGTCCATCCCAGGATGTCAGAGGGTACGATGCTAACCTGAGTGAGTTAGCTGCTCCAAGCATCCAGCCTAAACTAGATGCAAGCTATTTCTGCCCTTGGTGGAGGGAGAGAGACGCTCCTGGAAAGTGAGTCACTCCCTTTTCTTAACATCCTTACATGGACAGTCCTCTCAGCTGCAGAAGAAAACTGCTTTTCCCCTCCCTGGTTGTGAGACCATGCCATGACCTGGACCACAAATTTGATTCACGTTTTGAACAAACCAACCCCAATCCTGCTTCCCATCCTCCATCCCTTTCTCAGGGTTTTAACATGGTTCATTCCTCATCTTGCTGAGACCCCACGAAGCCACCTTCAATGGAGCAGCGTTGCAGGAGGGAGCCAGGAGCCACTCTGGGCTTGGCAGGGGCACCACGAGATCTGCCTGTACATCCACAGCCTCTGACTAAATGCAAAGCTTCTAAGTATCTAATGTTAGGTGTGATGATTTTACTCCCTGTTTGCTTTCTACTGTGCACATACGTGTGTGGGTCGTACTGACAAGGTATTAAGGATTCTTGAAGCAGAAGGTGTGAGAAGAGGCAGATGTTGTGCATGGCAAATTAGCGTGAGTACGCTACAACGTGGGGATTGGTTATTGATGCTTTTAATTCCTGCCATATAAGTTCTCAGAGAATATCCTGGAAAAAGTGGGATTGTCACTGCTATTTTGTTCCTCCCTGCATTTCAGTGTGTGTGCCTCTGATTTGGCATTGCATCGTCAGAGTGTTAAAACAACTCAGAAAAAAATATAGGCAGTGCATTTTACCTGAACACATCAAGTATTATCAGGTTCAGAAACTTCTGACTATTTGTCAAAAAAAGAAAAAGAATAGTAAAACTTGAAGGGGAATGCTTCTGGACATGTTATTTTATATGTATGAGTACTTGAAAAAAATACACTATGGATAATACTTGAAATCAGCCCAAACCTGACAAAAGAAGCAAATAGACTTATTTCAAAATATGTGCTAAAAATCTCATGTACTTTTGGACGGAATCATATGTGCTGCATAGTAGTTCTGTATCAAAGCTTTGAAGCTGAGATTTTAAATACTTTTTCAAAATTAACCCTGTAGCATAAATGCTATCAGATGCTTAATTAAGACTGTGCTAGTAAGGAGCATGTTTGCAATAAATTATGGGGAGTTGTTCTGACATGCTTTATCTATGTAAAGATTTCTATTTTTATGTGAAGCTATTTACAGATTATTGATTTCAAAAATAGATCTGTAACTAAAGAAAGATGCATCGTATTTCAGTTGCTCGGAGTTGAGAATCTTGCTGGCTGGCTGCCTGCTCTCTTAGATGTTTATTCCAGGGGGTTACAAGTGCATGGAGTGATTCAGCCCTTCTTATTTTTCTCTCTCTATTTGGAAGAAGGAATTTGTATTCAGAGATCAAGTCCCATATCTCTTACCCATGCAGGTAGGCTGATTTTCACACCTTTAAAGCATCAGAACAATTTCATTGAGCTCCCTGAGACTTTTTTGTGTAAGACTTTTGGGTGGGGAACATCCATCCTCATATCTACATCCATCACAATGTCTTTTGTCAGTGGTTACTGTTTTATTTCAGAGCAGTAAGCTCTTGTCCCAGTGCCAGTGGATCTTGCTAAGCTCTAAGGGTGCCTTTAAGTTCACGTAATACAAAACTCCAGCATAAGATTTTCTGTTTTATGCCGTGTGAACATTGAAAGAAAGATTTTAATAAATAAATCCAGGCAAAGCCTGAAGGTAGAGGTAGAGTTGCTCTTTTATTAGAGCAACTGATAGAGTTTGAAAACTTAGACAAGCTTGTGTGCCCAAGAGCTTGTCTATTTTTTCCAGCCATACCAGTTGGTCTAATAAAAGATATTGCCTCTGTCTACAAACCTTGTCCTGCCTATGAACTCTCTTCATCACAGCTACAGCAAAATACTGCTGGAATGTTAAAATAATTCAGGCCTTTCTTGCTTAATTATGGAGACTCAGATTTTTGTGGTTTCCTCAGGTCTCAGCTTTTTGAATCCCAGCACAACAAAACGATGCAGACTGGTTTCTCCTACTTTGGGGGAGAATTTATCCCATAGCAGCTCAAACTGCTTTGCTGATTCCTCATTTTAGAAAGGATGTCATTAAAGGTAACCTGCTAAAGTTCTTCTGCCATCTGGATGTTAGGATATTTTGTAGGATACTGTTGGTGAGCAATCAGATGTCTGGCTGTTGAGGGCAGTCCTGTCCTGTGCCAGCAGCTCTGGTGTGGTGTGCTGGTGATGGGAAGCAGATGAAGTGGGACGAAGAGGCTGGCAGAACAGAAAGTCTCTGGCTTTGGCTGTGGGTGTAAATCTTCGACTCTTGCTATGTGTCTGGCTGGGGAAGCAGAATAGTGTGGCCCTTCTAAATGGCAGGAAGCTTGGGTTTGGACTTGTTTCAGCTGGAAAACTTGGGCCCAGACCTGTCTAAGAGTCGTAAGAGCAGCCACGCAACAGTATTTTCAGAGCTATTTAACTTGCCTTTTAGAGGCCTTAAATGTATATGTCTTTTGGATCTGAATCAGTATCTCTAGGTTAATAGCTTCAAAATAGCTCCAGGTAAGACCAAGGTGGTGATGATCCGGGCCATCTTGAAATATCCATGGGGCAGATGATATTCCACCCTCCAGGGACACAAGCCCTTTCTGTAGTTTGCAGTCTTGGGGTGGTACCAGATCCCTCACTTTGCTGCGTGTCCCTGGCTGCTGACCTGGGCTCTGTCCCTCTGGCGTGGGCCCCGTTCCTCTCCCGAGGACCCTCTCCTCCATCAGGACTGTTGGAGCCCTTCGGAGCGTTCCTGCAGGCGGTGCCCTCCCTTTGAAGTGGAAGGCATTGATGCTTGCGGGCTGTTCGGTTCTGTGCCCTGTGCTGCTTTCCATCTGCCTTTGGGCATGGCTTAAATAGCTGGTAATTACTTCTAAGCCCTTGGTGGCTGGAGCCTGGGCTATTTTAGAAGCTGCTTCTCCCTGCATGCCCTGTTGTGGAAGTTGCGGCTGGCTGGAATGGCCCCTCGCCCTCTCGCTGCGGTGACCTCCTCTCCCGGCTGTGTTGCAGGGAATTTTGGGGGGGAGAAGAGCTCTCAGCTCTGGCATGCGGTCCCTTGGGCTGCCTGCCAGGGCCTAAATTTGGTGACCTTTAGGATGTAGGAGAAGATGCATTTGTAAACCTTGGTTATAGTAACTGGGAGACAAGCGGAGAATGCTGGGGGAGGGAGGAACATATTTTTTACAGACAAGCTGTTTGCCGTCTGTTTGAGTTTTATGACCAGCAACTAGTAGGTAAATAAACTAACAAGTGGTGTGATGATTGCAACTGTTGCTCTTTAATCAAATTAAACTAAAAAATTACACAGATTTCCTCTAGGAGAGCGAGCGTGCGTGTGACCGCCGAAAGCGCCATGACTTCTAACGCTGGCTTGGACGCTCGCTCTACTCTCTGCTGAAATCATCTAGTTTCTCTTCTGTAAATTGAGGGCAGTCATATATATTTTAAAGGTGTCTAGAAATGGTTGCTGTATCATTACCCATGTAGCTTGCGGGTGGTTTTGTTTCCTTTAAGGAAGAGCAAACAAGCTGAGCCCTGTTGTCCAGCAGTTGTGTGGGTTACACAAGAACGGTCTCATCTTATACCTAATTTGTTATAACCGTGGGATGCATCTCCCACCCCTTCCTTCACACCAGCCCTAATGATAGCTTTGTGGCAGGTTGAGCTGGGTTCAGCCTGCTGACCAGTGGTGAACTACCCAGGTTTTGCTTGGTTTTGGTCAGTTTGTTTTGATGGGCGAGGACTTGGAATGGTGAGCTGAACCAACCCACCATGGGGCTGCTTCATCATCAAAGGAATTTCTTCATTTTGAGGGTGGTAGAGCCCTGGAAGAAGCTGCCCAGAGGAGTGGTGGAGTCTCCATCTCTGGAGATATTCAAAACCCGCCTGGACACGTTCCTGTGCAACCTGCTCTGGGTGGACCTGCTCTGGCAGGGGGTTGGACTAGATGATCTCCAGAGGTCCCTTCCAACCCCAGATCATTCTGTGATCCCACATGATGCCAGGGACACAGCAGGACATGTGTTTGGTTGGAGGAGGTGGAAGCATGATTGCCCCAATGTGCTAATAACACACTTGGGCAAGGGTACCCCTGTTTCCTCACTGCAGGGCCTTCCTGATGAGAAGAACTGTCTGTTGGTTTGGTTTTGACAACCAGTACTTGTGAAGGGGTGCAGATGTTGGTGAAGATCTGCTGGTGAATATTTGCCTTGCTAGCGTTACAGGTTTGCAGTGTGTTCTCGCTCTGTCTGAGTGTGACTGACCTGCAGAGGACGAAAGATCATCTTTCTGCTTCCCTTCCAGTTGTTTCTGCTAATTTAGCATCAGTTTGAAGCTTTGTCCCTGCTCAGAGATCAAATGAGAAACAAAGCCAGGGACAAGGCTCTTTATTTTCGCTGTGTGGTAAAAGTGGCAAGGTCAGTCCCACTGGGGTTGGTTTGTAGGGTTTGTCCTGCCTAATTTATCTAACGTATAAAGGGTAGGGTTTCTATCCCTTATAGCTAATGCATGTTAGTAACTCTAAGGTGAAAAATACCCCTTTTCAGGACTGAAAACTGTTCCGAAATGCGTTTTCACCACAATGGATAGGAATGTCTTTACAGTTCCAGCCTTATGGACAAGCCTTCCAGCTCTCCGTTTTGACTCTCTATCTCACGAGACCTCTCAGAGCAAAGCATCTTGCTTGACCTGCAAACTCAGATCTTTCCAGCGGGTACTTTGCAAAACTTCCTGAGTGGCGTTGCATCTCTTCATACCAGGAAACAGATTACTTTCTGGTGAAACAAACCTTGAACTTAAGCAAGCTTTTCTCTTCTGCCTTTTTCAGAAATAAATAAGCATTTGAAGATGACAACCTCATGGAGCGACCGACTCCAGAATGCAGCAGATCTCCCTGCAAACATGGATGGGCATGCTCTGAAAAAGTACCGCCGGGAAGCCTATCACCGGTAAGTCATTTGTGTAACCCCACAGCTGAGGTGTTGAGACAGAGGAACCGAGCATAAACCCACGTTTCTGGTTTTTTGCTTGTTGGTTAAACGGAAAGATCAATCTCACCTTCCTTGCAGAAGTGTTAGTAGGAGAGAACTTAGAAGATAGCACAGTATTGACCTGCAGGAATTTACAAACAGTGGAGTTGAGATACATGTACTAGAGCGAGTGAGGGTCTGCCTTCTTAATGCAGTTGAAAGATTAAGCAAAGTTAGATTTTGGGATAGAAGCTTTTAAATCAAGGAATTCTCCATGGCAGAAGTGTTACAGTAATTATTGCAGTGTGCACTGGCAGAGCATAGCCATAGACACTGGAATACACGACTATGAATAAGCAGGAAATCAAATGGGAGCAGAAATTAAGTGTTTGAGAATTCTATTTAGTATGGTTAACTGTGTACACCGCAGCAGCGCGGAGAAGCACTAGACAAGATCTCAGCCTCCTTGTCCGTGGTAGGTGTGCCTAAAACCATCTTTGCTGTAAAACAATTACAGTCTAAATAAACAAGACAGAGCACAGAATAAAAGAAATGCTATTATTCTCATTTTACAGTTTGGGAATTGTACTACAGACACTACCTTGTTTTCACAAGATCACACTGAAAGTTTGGTTGAGCCAAGAATTTAGCCCCCAGCTCCCAAGGTTCCAGGCACAGACCATAAAAGATGGATGCAATCTGTATCCTTATCAGATGTCTGGACTTTTGCAGAGTTAAAAGCAATAGCATCTAGTAATTGTCAGTTTTCTGTTTGTGGGAGGTGTATTTTCAAAGTTTAGCTTTTTTAATTTGAGAAGTAATGCAGTGTGATGAGCAGAGTATATTCAGCAGGAGTTGGGGAGATGGATGTCTGATCTAGAAACAGAAAAAGAAGTCAAGTTTCCCAACCTCGTGCTTAAGCACCGTGTTGCATTTGTGATTCATGTACGGTGGTATTTCTGAGGAAGTGTTTTGGAAGTGTTAGATGTATTTTGATTCTCCAAATGGAATCTAATTACAGAAAAACGCCTTAGCATCATATGATAGATCAGGTTGTGCAAGTTCCAACATCTAAGGCTAAGTAATGGCTCCTGTGATGCGTTTCTGAAGCTTTCCAATTTCCAGTGAATGTGTTTGGGCACATGTCTTAAGTGGTGGCATTATTTGAATCTCTCTGTGTCAGCTGGGTTGTCAGATATGGAAACGTCTAATGAATGTAACTATATATAGCACATAAAAGAGAGGGATTTTATACCATTCCCTGGCAAAAATCTTCACCTTGTTGAAGTCATTGGCAGGTTTACCTTTGTGTTATAATTCTACCTGTGACTTTAGGTGTGTTACTCCTGATTTAGACTGATGGAAATGAATTAGAATTAAGGCCTATTTATTTTTTCTCTAAATATTTCCTCAGCATTTGGTACGGTTAGGTGCTGACAGTCTGCTAAGTGTTGTACAAGATCCGAAGGAAGCAGTACTTGTCCTTAAGAGCTCACACATTCAAGTCCTCATCATGTTTGCCCTTACTCATGTAAGAAATTCTTACTTTCAGAAAGAATTTCTTTATGGAACATGAGAGTGCATTCATATAAAGGAGGGTTTCCACTTGGAGCTGGGATCTGCTAGTCCGAAAATAGTCTGTGGTACAGTTTAAGTACTCGTTTTTAGAATCTAGAAATGTCTTATTCGAAACATATTGAGCAGAAATGTTGCTAGCACTTCAGATTTTCATGGAAAGCACAACATTGGAAACACATTAAGGGGAGGCACATTTTTGTTTTGAAATTACTATGCGCTTTTAAAAAGAGAGAGAGGGAAGGAATGAGAGAGAGGGAGGGAACAGGAGAGAATGAGAGAACCTGATGCCAAGACTGTAGTATAAATCTGTGCTATTAATGGCTTTGGTGTACCAGTTTCATGGGAGTTATTTTGATAATCCAGTATTGTAAGAATCTGAAACAACCTCATTCCAGAGGTAGTGTTGTCAGATTTCTATTTCTGGTATTTTTGGTGATCTTTGTGTTAGCAGATGTGATGTTACTTAGAAGATTAGTGCAGACTTAACATGATAGAGTAGGGAAATTATTTCCCCTTGTTGTTTTATATTGTTTTGTACTTTATATTTTTATATTATTTTGTGTTTTTTAGTATTTTAATAATTGTTCAGATGTAGAATATATTTGCTGGTCATAGCCATCAGTTCTAGGGTGGAAATTTGTTTCATTGAGGTCCAGTGAGCTCTAACTCTTGGGATATTGCTGAAGCACTGTCAGTTTTATGAAAAATAGAGATATAAAAGACACAGAATTCATTGTCAAGATTCTCTTCTTTCTCTTCCTTTCTCTTTTTCTTTCTCTTCCAGTCTCTCTTTTTTTCTGTCTCTTTTTTTCTTACTCTAGCAGCTTAAGAAAAAAACCTTGACAACATGAATCTAATGTGACTTAGAAACAAAAACAATGAAAAAGAACATCGAATTTAAAACTATTGCATTTTTTTACCTTAAAGCTGCTCCCAGTGATGTTACGGGCCCAATCCGAAGGGCTGGAGGAGCTTGGCCACATTTGCAGATGAGCGTAACTGGGGTTAGCTTTTGATACCAATGTCGGAAGCCTAGTTGGGATTTTCTAAATGCTGCTTATAGTGCTTGGTTTTCTGAAGTGTGAAATTTTAAAAACTTATTTCACTCATTGTTTACTTCATGTTTGCTTAATTATCACTGGAAATACCTAGACCAATTGATATAACTTTCTGGATCTAGTGAACTATGCCAGATTGGAAATGCTTGAATTGTAAATATGGAAGCAGCTTAAAATAAGGGGAAAAATTTCCAATCTAAGCAAAATAGTGTACCTTAAAAATAAAAATTATGTTCTCATGGGCATGAAACCTTTTACAAACTTTCTAAAAAATTAGCTGTGAAGATGCCACTCTAATAGTCATGTTTTACTGTAGTTGTTCATAGTAAGAATGTGTTTTTTCAGGTGTTGCACTTCTCATTGTATCATACTTGATGGATGGGTGTTCAACATATAACATTGTTGGCAGAAATCCCAGCTGAGACTGGTTTAACTGGTGTAATACATACTGACTCAGAGTGTGATGACTATATCGTAATCATGTCTGAATGCCATAGGCAAGAATGTTCAAATATTTATAGCTGGTTTCCTCCCATGGCTGTCTTCTCCCAAAGTTTTTGCTCGCTGTTTGGATGGGTTTGTGTAACTGCTTACGAAATGACAGTATTGGGGTTATTGAGGAAGTAAGAGAAGCTTGAGAGGATGAACATGTATGCTCTGCTGTAGAGTTCAAGGGCCGTAAAAGTGACGTCAAGCCTTAGGAAAAATCTGTAGGGGAGGAGAAGAGGTGGGGTTTTATCTTCAGGGTATTTCTGATGACTTTAACTAAGACTTTCAGTTAGCTAGTGTTACCATCAGCCACAACCTCGTTATACAACATTGTTGGCGCCTGTTGGAGGTGAGGTCTAAAGATGAATTAATATACAAGCTAGATGTTATTCATTCTCTAGCAGAGGTCACTGGTAAGAGGATACTGCATTACTCTGCTATTGGCCACATACATTTTAATTCGGAAATAAAATGGATGTGTTGCTCTTAGGTGGCTTTTCCTTAGTGTGTGTGGTTGTGAGGCCACCTCCCTCATGAGCTGCTTGTTGACTTTTCCGGGTAGAGGATAATCACTAGGTCATTTGTTCTGGAGGAGTACTGTCATTTAACGTGATTGTAATTAGGCAAGAACTAGGTTGACTCTGAGCCACCAAATTGCCCTAGTGTCTATTTTTTAACTTGGAGTGAGTACTTCTAGGCACCCTCTGGATTATCTCACATAGCTCTTTAGGGTTTAAATAGCAACCACATCTAGTTAAAGCAAATAATGGAAAAAGTTGGTGTTCCATCCACTCTTGTTACTGACAGTTACCAAGATCCAGGAAACAGGTATTTGCATTTACTTTTATTCTGTGGTTTTTTGGCTTAACGGGGCACAATGGCTGAAGGTGGCCTTTTTGTTAAACATACAGGCTTTGGGATGCTTTTACCATTTTGCATCAGAGTAATTTGAGACTTCTCATCCTGAACGTGGGGTTTCTGTTGATGTTTTCTTGCTCTGTTGTTTACTCGCTAGCACTGGGAATGTGGCATCGTGATTCCTAATCCTACTTATCCCGTTGACCGCTCGTAGAGTATTGAGTAAGTTGCTTTGTAGTTTTGTGCTTTCAATTTTGTGCTTGAATTTGCTTTCAAAGCATCTTGTGGGGGTAACATGAATTAAGTGATGTAAGCTTAATGTATGCTGAGATCCTGCTAAAAAAATGATATCTACTTTAATAATGACAAAGTAAAAGGATTACCGATCAGTTGTTTTGATTTGTAGGGTTAATGGCATATTTTAGTTTGTTCAAATTTCTCAAGTTTGGGCTCTTCACCGCTAATCTTGTTTCTTCACTTTATTGATACTGGATCATCAGTGACTGCAAACAGGTGGAAATGTTATATAAACTAGGCTGTGAGGCTGAAAACTGTTTATTTATTTGGGTAGCTATGTATACAGTCTCTTTAAAATGATCAGTTCGTTGAGGTGGCAAATGAGAAAAAAGTCTTTCTGGGTCTGAATGCTCTTTCCATCCGAGCTGGTTGGGTAGGCGACGTGTGGTATGTCCCTGGAACTGGGAGTGAGGTGGCTCTGTAGGCTCTGCTGGCAATGGTCTGTCCCCATGTGTCCCTCTGCAGCCTCCCGGGACTCGTGGGGTGGTGTGTGTGTCGGGGAGGGCAGCGTGTGGCTCCCTGTATTTATTTTGCTTTAGTCCTTTGGACGTTGGAGAGAGGAGGGAGTGTTAAGGCGGCAGAATGGGCGAGCTTACGAGAAAGCAGAACACTTGCCAAATTAATAATAAAGAAATTACATTAAAAATGTCCCATGATCCCTAGCTTTAATGGTTTCACAGAGCCAGACGGGTGTTATTT